AAATGAATCAAAAATTATGTTTCTAGCATTTGTAGTTAATAAGTTATAAGTGTTTAAAGCTAAAAATAAGTTGTTGCATTTCTTTTGTCAGCTATTATAGCTAGAATATATACTATCAGGTATACTATATATACGCTATTGAGTATGCTATATATATGTTATCGAAAATATGTGCAATCTATAATATGTAATTGCTATCAAGTTTGTTATAAGTTGCAAAAAAAGTGAGTTAGTTTCGACTATATATATGAGAAGGCAGATGTATGTTACCTATTCTGAAAATATATCTGATCACATACATTGAAAAGTATAGTATTCTGCTATTTTTCTTATATATATATTATACAGATTACTACACATATACTATACATCAATTATATATCTGAAAATATGCCATAAAAAGTATAGTGTTCTGCCATTTTTTTTATAATATATTACACAGATTACTACACCTGATCACATACTTTGAAACATATTATATATAACTATAAATAAATCTGATATTACCTATCTCTCAGTATATGTGTTTTTACTATAGTCTTCTGCTATAATTATTATATATATTTCTTACAAAAGATTATACCTGTTTACTACTATTAAATCTATATATATTTTGTTATAATCTTCTGCCATATATACAAAAAATTATAGTTAAACATATCTAAGCACATATTATAATAAAATTCTGCAAAAAACTATAACTTATTTGTGAATGTATTATTATCTAAAATAAAAGAATACTACAATTAGCTTAGCTTCTTAAGCTTACTTCAATGATATTGTCTTTTACATGATATTTTTTAGTATAAATATCACAATAGTCATAAGAAGAAAAGGTCAACTTATCACATTCTTTGTAAGATATATGTATAAAAGAATTCTAATGAACTTTGCATCCTTTTAGATGATAACATCCCTGATTACAAACTTCTCCAGTCTTAAAAATATAGGAATAATGATAAAATGCCATAACAATATACTAATCAATAAAAATATTGATAATTATACTCTGAAATTAATTTTCATTTTAAACTTTTTTCTTGTGAATAATATACCAAAAGTTCTAATATAATATAAAAAACTAATTACCAAAAATAAGCATACAAAATGCACAATAAATGCAATACAGGGACAAGAAAACCTTAGCTAAGATTCTAATTCATAATGACATTATTTCAGAGTATGATAATAGATCAACAGCTATATTTTAACAAAATTTATCTAATAAATAGCCTATATACTTCATGCTTAATGATATGAGTGATGCTACTGAGTATATAAAAAATGTATCGACATATATTCTATGTATTTATAGCACTTTGATTAATAGGCAAAAGGCTAGGTAAACATTATGGGTATCAAATCCTTCTTTGATGTTGTTGTCTCAAATAAAGAATTACTAGTTACACTAACCTGAAAAAAGTATCTGAGCACCATTTTTTGTGAATTATGGCTTAAGTTTATATGGTATAAAATATTATTATTTATATTTTTATATAGTGCATGTTTTGATGCATTAATTGGATATATTTTATTTTTGTTTGAAACTACTTTGCGTATCATGCATAAATAAATAAAACTGGTTTCAATTAAAAATGCCTCAAAATGCAATAATTTTCACATTTTCTAAATTATTTTGACATGCAATTATTCAATTTTAATCAAGCACACCTTGACAGAAAGAACTCGGTGAGGTGAGTATGATAGTTTTAATTTTATATTTCCATAATCAATATTTTATAAGATATTTGCATTTATATATTCTAAGGTTAATCAAAGTCAAAGATTGTATTTTATTGTTTTATAAAAAAAAAATTCTTAATGCATTTATAAAAAATTTGAAGAATAATGTTCTAGATAGGATAGAAAGAAATTATTAACAATATTGTTAGCTCAAAAGTTATTAAATTTAAAAAAAAATTATAAATTTTTTGGTGTCCGGATACTTTTTTCAGGGTAGTGTATATTTAAAAGTAATTTAGTTAAAATTGTGTCTAAAACTCTCAAAGGAACATCAAAATTTAGAACTAAAATTATTTATACTTTTCCAGTTCACGGTTATCATACAAAAAAGAAACTATATATCTGTATAACAACATAGAATCAATATGATCGATATAATACGTTAAAAGCAGTTTATGAATCTAACATAAAAATCACATCTGATGACCTAAATTGTAAGTATTATTACTGAAAAATAGCCTGTAAAAAAAGATTACTTTTTTCTAGTTGGGTAACATTACATGATTATATATATAATAAAAAGTATCTGTAGATGATTATAAACTAATTAATAAGAATAAGTATAAAAACCCATTAATTGCTTCAACTTTATTTTGAGATAAAACACTTATTCTTACATGAAATTTAAAAATATATAGTAGTCACAAAATGGGAGATTTACCTATAGCGAAAAATATAGAGGATCGAGTTTTTATGATTTATATTATACATTGGAAAGATAATCCCAACTTCGTTGATGCAAATATGTTTGGTTAATGTGGAGATAAAATCAGATCTCAGGTAGATTACAGTATTATGTGAAAATCAAATTAATTTGCTTAAGGCATTTGCATTATGTTAGAAATATTTAGCTTCCAATATACAGATAGGTTTTAATGATTCGCAATATGATTGGTCTTTTGTTATAAAGTTTAAGAATTCTTGAATGGAAGTTTAATAATATGTCACTGGAGCTATTAAGAATTGAAAAAATCACAAAATGATAATATCAGTATTTTATATTATAAAAAAATACCTGCATATCGCTGACCTTTAGATTGACTGTATAAATAACCATTCCGTTTATAGTCAGTCTCCTGCATGTCCTGATGTGACTAGCTGATCATTGTCATCGTGTGAATTTAGAATTTATGCTTCCCCGATGTAAAATATATTTTAATCTTTATCTCTTTGTAGTTCCGTATAACCAATGGGTTTTACTTCAGAATTAAGGATCGGCACATCATCCACAACGCACGAAAAATCCGGCCTCTTTTGGCTCCCATTGACAGTACGATTCAATCTCAATTTATAATTTTTATAAGGACCACCAAATATTTTAAGAAAAGGATCTAGGTATCGAAACCTATGTTCATCTTCAGATGTTTTGCGTGGGGCTACAATTGGAACATCATCAGCTCTAAATAGTAAAAAAAGATTAGCTCTTCAATATTTTTTCCTTTAGGATTAACAAAAATGCTTAAATCTAACTTACAATCCATAGAAAATTTGTTTCGCTAAATGACTACGCTTACTGTTATCATTTATACCTATAAAATCAGTAATTAGGCCTAACGATTTTTTGAAAGTGGCATCAAGTAATAGCGTTGTTAAGTCAGCATTTAATACTGGTTCGGTCAACTTAAATGGGTTATTATCGGTTATTTCAAGCCACTCGTCAGCTGTAAAAGTATTATACGGGCAGGGCCAATCCAGAACTATGATTGACGCCAAAGCCCTAATGTAATGGGAAAAGATATGTTAATAAATATGCGATGAAATGTTTTAGAATATTTAATTAATACTTACAGTAGATCAAAAGTATCATGCCATGTTAGTTTTTTAATACCGTGTTTTATGTCATAAAGAAGGTCGTTTTGAAACTGTCTAAATTTTTTCGTGACATTAATCTCACCAACTTTCCACTAAAATACGAAAATAATAATTATAATTATATGACAACAGAAATAAAATTTCGATTTACTACGTACTTGAACTTTAGATTCTATTTTCACTTGTTTTTCGAGATTATCAAAATAATAATTTATCCAGTCATCTATAACTTCCTCAACTTCTTCACCTGAGGTAAAATCATCAGGATCATTGTTGTTGGATTTATTACTGGCACTATACACAAAATACACAAAGAAATGTTTAATAAATATACGGGTACTGAAAAGTTCAAGCGATCACCATTAATGAGATCAAAAATCTACCTTGGAAGGTGTTGAGGTGTCTCAAAAAGAGAATTATCTGTCAAACTACATGGAGATGGCGTAATATCACCATCATGATAAACCCTTTTTGACATCCGATCTTCATTATAATCTACTTGTTTTCTTTTTCGCAAATAAGTACTTTGATTTGGCTCATCCTAAATAATATACCAAACAAATTCACAAAATTTTGAAAATAATTGAGCAGTAACAACATAACACTTACTTGTCTATCGCCACAGGATTGGAATATATCAACAAGATCTCGATGTTGGATGTCTGTTACATGTCGTTGGCTCTTATTTGTTGCTTCAAATATATGCAACAATCCATTTGTCTTGTAAAGGAGGCTAATTATTAGATTATGCTAAAACTGACAAACGACATTGTGCATAGTAATATTAACTTACCCGTTCATTTTCGATTCTTTCTTCATTACACTTTTTCTCTATCATTGCCCAGAAATTAATGACACCTTCAGAAGACTTCTCGTTCTTTTTGTTAAGAAGAAAACAGACATTATTGTAAGATCAGATATCAGATAACATTTTTTGAGATCACCATATAACCATATAACCCATATAACCAACAAAACAAAGGTTAAGATGAGTGAACCATAGCTTGTGAACAACCAGTTGGTACGTAGGCATCCGGTTGCGTTATGGCAGTAACATATGTCTATTCAAGAACATCCGAGGGGAAACGACCTCCACTCTCACCAGCCAGTGCGTAGTAGCTAGCTACTCGGGGTTTGTCAATACGTCACGTAAAATGTCTCGGGACCGGAACGTATTCTAGTCTTGAACCCATTCATCTCACCCAGTGGCAACGAACATATACTTAACTTTAAAACCGGAAAGAAGATCTTGAGCTTGGGCGTTATTTACCGCCAATACGTCCAAAGCTTTTTTGTATAAACCATGTTCCTTTCTCCTATTGCATGTAAAATCGTCATTTTCTGCTCTAAAATTCAAAAATTTAAGTAATGACCAGGTTTTATTTTTTTTGAAAAATTTTTCGATTGTTTCTTCAGCCTGTAATTGTAGTAATGATTCGTCAGACATTTCTTCTCCAGAAGTCGACATAGTTGTCACTTTATATTATTTTCTGCATTACAAAAAATGTAATTCGATTTTTTTTATTACCGGTACGATACTGCGCCAAATTTTATTGAGGAGCGTGATGTTAAGGCATGTGACGGGATTTAAGTAATTTCACTGCGCCTATTATACGCGTGATGATGGTCTGTGATTTTCTCGGCAAAGATCAAAATGCCGATGTATAACAAGAAGAGCAATATGTCCGTTTTATTTTGGAACATCTATAAAGGTGGGAAAATCGATTAACATCATGATGGTATATTTCAAGAAGTTAGCCAAGCAATAAACAACTTACTTTATTATTACTTTGCGAGTTCGTTTGATTGTTAATATCAATGATTTTAATAATGGTAAGCTTGAATGTTTTGATTTTTTTGTTTTACTTGCACAAGGCGGATAAAAGGATTCACTAACAGGGACATCACCTTTTTATATAATTTCCAGGATCGATTTTGGAATACGCTTTTGGGAAAATTACGTTAATATAAACGCATCACAAAAATCTGATCAACAGCTTCTCCTTTAATTTAACAGTAAAAAACTTTGATGCTACCCATATGTAAAGATCATCAAAGGCCCCTTTTTAATAATAATATACATAAGAATTTTAAGAACATGCGAGAAAGTTTGAGAATAAATTATTTTGCGCAATTTACATATTCCCGTGATGTGTGTGACGTAAATGTTCTAATGTTACTGCGCATTTATTTATCAAGTTCTAGATCAATGATCTCGCTACAATAAAAGAATATATTAGTATACACCCTCGCTTCACTTCCCACAATCCCATAACCACTTCATGCGAAAAAAAATATAGATTTCCGGTAAATTTGCGCCTTTGCTTTATTGATCGTACGAGAAAAAATATAAAATATAACTCATAATAGATACAGCGAGCGAAATTTTTCACGGAGAATTTTAATTACTGATTATTGCTCCTTTTTTCCTCTAACTTCTTGATAACCCACGCTCTGATTAAACGCAAAACATCTTCATCAGGTTTATATGTATCACCGTTATAAAATCTCTTTAATGTTTTTTCATCAATCTTTTTTGTTCTCAAGAGATCATTCCTAATCTCATCAACCATGACCTTCCACGGAATTCCTTTATTTGTCTTACGAGAATCACAAAGTCGTACAACTTCTTCTCGAACATTTTCATGATTATCCAAATATCTATATCGTTGTTCAGGTGGATCTATTAGTTGTTTTCCAAGTTAGAGCTATATTACGTTGTATTACCACTAGAATTTCCAAATAATAAAAATACCTGAATTTGTTAATACCCAAAAAGCTTCATTTGTATCTTCACTATGCCCATTTTCTCTACCATCAGGGTCCTCAATAGGTTGTTCTAAAAAATTTGTGTTAGAATATATCATGTTGGAAAATCACATTACTAATGATAAGTAGACCTACTTTGATTCAGTGTTGCTTGATTAAAACTTCTTAACATGGTCAAGAATTTTGAATCAACAATAATATGAGTAAAATTTGCAGAAGGTTGATTTTCCCAGTAATCACTGACAAGTTTTATTGTTTCGAGTTTCTTTATGTCTTTACTCTTATTATCTTGCAGGATGAGGCTTGAAAATTTGTCTGCATTGTCATTATGAATTTCTACTCCCCAAAGTTCCAAGTTATCAACCTCGGTATCAGAGAAGATATCTTTTTTTTCTTCTTTAATTAATTTCTTAAGATCATAAACAAATTTCGAATTGTTAATTTTAATGGGAAATTCCTTGGTATTTTCTTCGATTTCTCGAAAGAGACGGCAAGTTAGTGTTATGTCCGTCATAATTCTGTAAAAGTTGTCTATTATTAATAAAGCTACGTATTTATAATTCAATTTCAGTAATTATAATCACTTTACATATTATCTACGCCCAACCTACTTTTGGAAAAGATTTTATCTATTTCTGATCTGTTCATACTTATTTCCTTTAGATCCTGGTCGCTTTTATTAGGCTGATTTTTAGAAAGAAGCTAGATTACTGCGGTCAATAGATTATAGTTTTACACCATTTAACATAAACAGTAGTGGTCTAATAATCAATTCCAGAATAAGAGAAAAAGGATAAGATAAAGGTGAACTTGGAATTGTGATTATCCGGAATATGTATCACTAATTCCTATTCAAAAACGGATTAATATATGATTAACCTATATACGTAATTTCAATACGCTAACATCAGTAGGATAATAAAAATATACCATTTATCCGAGGATCTGTAAATCATTGATTCTAATCAGCTCTATTTCCATTTTTGAATTTCTTTTTATCAACGCCCTGTCTTACGATTCGCAAAATGTAAATCAGGGATGTGGTTTTTTTATTAGTAATTCAGAACTGCGTAATGAGTGAGATAGAACATACCAGAACTTCTTTCGGCTTGGCGCTGGGGAAAGTTCATCACTATAACAACACAAAAATATTGCTCTTGGCCGGGGGTTATTAATAAATCCTACGACTGCGGATGCCGGTGACATATTACTGCGCATAGTATAATTTGAGAATATAATTCACATGAACTAGTGACGTACTACTGCGCATTTCAGGTGATCGATTCACATGATGAAGTTTCTATACTTTTATTATGATAAATACGGATGCAAAGAATTATTTTAGTGCCTCACTCATCTCTCATAGCTAGCGCATTACCACAACGTAATCCCACCCATATAGTTCATGATCAACCTAAGTTTTAGATTATAAAAAACCGTTTCCTCAGGGAACGATCAGTCATGTGATTTTAATATACTGTATGTGTTCAGATATTTGTGAGATTTAATATTTTGGAATTGTGATTTGTAATGAAACTTTATTTATTTTAAGAATATACATTTGCATTTACAAGAGCAATAGCAATAAAATAATAGCAATAGAATGAACCGGACCCATTTTTAAGCTCCAATAGCTTTCCATTCCGTGACTGATTTTGGAACCCAGATCCAATCTCGAACCGTAGGCACATCTTTAATGAGTTTGGTGAGTGCCAGCTTCTTAAGTTCACTTTTTTTGGCCTTCGAGTCCTCTCTAAGGATCGAACATAAGTGTTGTTTATATACTAAAGCTCTTACAAGATCTAAAGGCATATGTAGAAAATACCTACCAATAAAATATAAAGCAATTCAAATATTTCAAGAAACTTCTCAACATCGTCAAATGCAAATGGTATTACTGCGGACTTTATTTGTGAAACCGTATAAAAATGCTTCTCAATGAGGCGGATTTCACTTAGTGTCATTCGATCTCCTAAAATAGATTGCCTATGTAAGATTTGTGCTATTTGAAAGGACTAGATGTAGTAGTGAAAACATTACCAATAACCTGCACCATATATGTTCAGATATTCTTTGCATTCGTTGAATTCTTATCTAAATAATCTCTCAGTAAAGACACCAATCCAAACATCGCTTCTTTGATCAGTTTTTCAGTATCTTCCCACACATGCTTTTCTACAGTGGCTTCAGGACCTCCTGACACTTCAATAAACACTATCTCTTTGTTGTTCGAGGCTTTCATGCAGACACCATCCGCTTTGTTTAACGTTAAATCGAAGTTCGGGAACAGAAGTTTCATGTCCTTGATACATTCAAGTTGAACCTCGATCCAGTCGAATTTATACTCTCTGTAAACCGACTGTATGGCCTTGAACAATGGCACAATTTGCTCTACGGTATACTTTCTCTCCCCGATATTTCGATCTATTAAACCTTCGCTAGTCATGAAAAAACTGAGTGAGAGTTAATCTGTTGTTTCAAGAAGGTGGTTTATGTAGAATCCTGGATAATACAGTATATATACTCACAAGTCATAAAGAATTATTCTGCATATCTTCTGAAATTTATGTTCGGGGTTTAGTGAAGCCATGATAGTACTAACGAACCTATCCTTTTCAGACTAAAAGAGAGGTCTTTAATGTATACCCTTACACCATCTTGGAAGAAGATTTGTGCTAACTTACCGATAGTACGTTTATGAGCCATCGTTGAATTTCATCTGGAATTTCCAGAATTATAACATCTTGATCACCTTTCATGATCAAACCCTGTTCATTAATGTTCACCGATATATGTTTTAACAAGTATTGGGAAGAGCGCTCGCAAAGCTTTGGCTTTTGTGGGGTAGTAATTTCTTTAGTCTCTTTTTCTTCAAGAGGTTTCCAAGGTGGAGTCTTCGGCTGGTGAATAACAACAATTATTCAGATAGCTTTTATAAAGAAAATAGATGAAATAGATTCATAAAGATCAACTCACACCATCATCCACCTTCCCATCAACGGTAGTTTCTGCACGCGCGCGCTTCTTCACGCTTTCTTTGCTTTGGGTCTTCCGCTAAATTTAGTATATAACGTTAATCACAAATTTTTTAACTAGGAAGTAAGAACTCATCTAGAGAAATATACCTTGCGATCACTTGTATCCTAAAAAGAGTATTGAGTGAGGCCGTCATTAGCAATAAGAACACAGACATCTACGCAGATTAATTATTCATGCTTACCTCAGTTAAATCAATGATTTCTTTATTCTGCAGATGATAAGAGGTCATTAAAGAAATGTTGAAATTTAACACAACATTATCGTCATATCCTAACCTTTTTAGAAAGTGAAAGGTTTTTTCTTCGCTTTGGTGCTAACACAGACTCCACAGACTCGATCCGTACATCAGAGCAAGATGAAAATTGTAGACAGTTCGTTCCTGTATCTATATTGTTATCATTCATCCTTTTTTTACGTAAGCGATTTATATTTTTGTTGGCACGCCAGCTCTTAACGAAACAGAAAATAAGGAAAAGTGCTTATTAGTTCGATAAAGTCAGTGATCTAAAGTAATTGTCTCGACATTGCAGATAACTAAAAATTATGGTGAGCGATCTAAAAAATCAGAGGAACAAAGTTGCATAGTTGCATATCCACGTTGCGGACAACTAAAAGTTGCAAAGAACTAAAGGTTACGAGGCAACTAAAAGTTGCGGAGAACTAAAAGTTACGAGGCAACTAAAAGTTGCGGAGAACTAAAAGTTACGAGACAACTAAAAGTTGTGGAATACTAAAAGTTGTGGAGAGCAGAAACCTCTTGTTATAATTGATATAAAACCTGAAGATCACTCAAAAGCTTGTTAGCCTTCTTAATTTTTTTAGAATCTGGGCTCTTATTGACAATCGCACGAAGACTTTTTGCGAGCGCGTCTGCACCTTTACAGTAGTTTCGGCCAGGATCCCCTCCGTGAATACAGTTCCAACTTTTGTGAAATTTGTAAATAGACCAAGTCTCAACATCGTTCTCGTCAAAATAATTATGCCACATATTAGACATGATTTAATACTGAAAGGTTACCTGTAGATTTTCGGGGTGGACGATTAAGAAAACGATTTATACGAATTATAGCGCAACTTAATTTCCATAAATAGAATAAATTGGTATCACAAAATTTCTGACGTGTATTATGAATGTGTCACGGGATTCACGTGAAGATGCTTATATAAGATAAATAAATACATAAGCACCGATTATGCTACGATCGCGAATTTGAATCTATTGCTTGAAGTGAAGCAAGTAAGACAATATTCCGTTTCATTTTTATACCATTCGCCATGTAATCCATAATTTCCATGTTTTCCATCACAAATAGGGCATGGTGAGCTCCACGGCTGAGGTGATGTAAAATTATAATTATCAATCCCTCTGAAACTATTTCGGAATTTCAAGTATGGGAAGTGCTCTAAGACTGACTGGATAATTGATTCTGGATTGGGTCTGGCTTCGAAGGTGATAGGCTCGAAATCAGAGGCTTGAGATAGTCCCAGCTGAAGGCGCTCAGGGCAAGGGACTGGTTCTGCTGACATATCTATCACAGCTTCCGATAATTGCCATGGCTCATTTTCAGTTTGTTTTTTATATCTTTTGTATAATTTGGAACGAATCTTATTCGTCAAAACGCTTGGTAACCCACTTAATTTGGCATGCCAGTCTAGATATTCGGGGGTTAATATTTTATCAGACTCAGTCATTTTCCTTTTTATATGTCTGCAAACAATTTAAATCCCTTTTTCTCATATAAACCTATTCATTTGAAAAAAAAAGATTAAAATTCCCAGACTATTGTAAAGCAATGAGACTATGCAACTATCTCAATTTTATGCTGTTTACATTTAATAAAGTAAGATCCTGCTTTATACCTACCTTCTATTTCTTCATCATCATGGCCTAATTTGCATAATGGGCAGATATAGTCCCCGCATGTTGTCTCATCAGTAATCCCATAATAGTCGAAATTTTCAATATTACATTCTCTATATAGATTAGGATATTGATCCAATATCTTATTGCGAAAATAGGAATGATCAGGTTTAGATTGGGATGCAGATGATACACTTGCGATCACTACCTCACCACCACAGAAATCTTCTTCCTTAAGATCTGTGAGATCATTATCATCTGCTTTAGCTGGAGTGATTTGAAGTGTATTTACTTCAGGCAAGATTTTTTCAGGACGGGCTGTCTTGAAAATTTCGGACACATGACCAGCTTCTAGAGACAACTTTTTCAAAGATATACCATAATCTATGATCTCTTGAAATTGTGCATCAGTAAGCTCTGAAATGGAATTCGCGTTATATGAATTAATATATTTGATCTTATCTAGATCCACTTATTTAAATAATTTATAGTTTTTTTCAGCTCTCTGAGTTTTCTTACTCAAGCTATCCTGTGATACATCCCTAAGTTTTAGCCCTAATTCTTGTGATCTTTTCTTGTAGAGGATAGTAAGCTGTTCTGTGATGATGTTATAAAGCATACCTCTCGCCTTCTTTTCACCAAATTTACCACCATTGCTTCTGATAATCTCATCAAGCTGATCTTTGAAATCCTTCCAGTAGAGGCATCAACATAAAATTTCTTCCTGATTAGCTTGATTTGCCTTATCTTCGGCATTGATAGCTTTGTCACATAATTGAGCTAGATGTTGTGAGGCTTCATCAATGTTGTCATAGGTAACTTTTCTGGGACAGGTCGTCTCAGAAATTTCAGTCACATTATTATGATTTATTGATGGCGAAATCTCTGATTCCAAAGAGGGGTTAAATAATTCGTGTTTAAGTTCATCCATTCCTTTTTTCTTATGTGATTTGCTACTCCCAGAAATTCTCTTTTGATTATGGATCACTGGTTCAGAGGTAGGACAACCTAGGTTGACGTTCTCACTGACTTCAGATGTTGAACTACTACATGGCTGAATATCAGAATCGAGAACTTGAGGCCTTTCTTCTTCAGGAGGTATTGGAAGAGACTCTTGAGCTTGAAGTTTCTTCTCCCTATTGCGTTGTCTAATCTCATCACTAACCTTTTCCTTATGCATCCTGTTCAAGAAAGCAACTATCTCCGATGATTTGGAGCTGGCAGATGAAACTTCTGGTATCAGTTCTTTGGGTAATAACGTATCAGAATTGAAGTTAGGTGAACTATTGTTAGAAGGTCCAGTTACCATGGTAGCATTATCGTTTTACATCAGCCTGTAATTCTCTTCCAGTTTCGCAACTCTAGCTTTAAGCTCAGCGTTCTCAGATTTGAGTTTAATGGTAACTCCATTATTTTTTTCTAGCTCTTCGATTCTGGTCTTAAGCTTAGCATTGTCATCCATAATCTGCTTTAGATGCTTAGCATCCCTAGCTTTAAGTTCGGCTTTCTCGACTTTAATCTTAGAGTTCTCAGCCTCTAGATCAATGATACGCTGTCTCAATACTTCAAGCTTGGACGACATGATCTATATGTATAACTAATACAGTAAACATTCAAAATAAAAATATGTAGATTATTTCAGCTGATCGTTAATCAAGTTAACGGTTTTTACCAAGTAAAAATTTTTTATTAATACATGCAAATAAATACAAGATTTGGGACGTAGCCTGTGATACATATTATTTTTTGATAATTTTTTGATCTTAACTCTCTTACTAGTTGGGGAACTATTTACACTAACCCTATCCTTTAATAGCCCAACAATTATATCTATTACTCTTTTTACATTATTTCAAAGTAACTCAGGATTTTCTTTGACGGCTGACTTTGTGAGATTAATCTGATATTCCACTACCACTTGTATAGTAAATACCATCTGGTTAGGTCCTGGAGGGACCTCATCTTTCTGATCGAAGTTCAAGTAGATAATATGGCAATTCTATTAGACTTATTATTTGTGGAAGATAAATAATATTGGATTGTAAGAGTATGTGGAATAATGACGTTGGATTACTTACATTGGGTAGACTATATACAAATCGTTTAAGTATTTTCACTCTCCAATACTTGACCACCTTTATGTTCCAATGGGTTTTAATTTCACAAAAAAGGTCATTCCAGTCGTGTCAATCATTATCATAAATAGTCCAATCCTCTTCTCTCTATCCATATACTTTGGTAAATTCATCGAAAGCTTTCTCCTTCTTAGCATCTATATTCTCATCAAACATTTTGCTAATATTGTAGATCAATAAAAAATAGAGATATTGGTTAGCATATAACTTCTATTCGATATGTGAAAATTAATATGTCACACAACCTATCTGATGATCCACTTATTTTTTGTCGCACAATCTGGCCGAAGGCGATGTGCATAGCTCAGCAAATTCTTCCAAGCTGATGATCGTTGCTTCAGTTGATGATCAGTATTCCGGACTCAAAATTTTCCACATTAAATATATTACTTTATTATAGCAATCATGGCAAATAATCCCAAAACACTTGCTCTATTATATGG